ACACTTGAGTATCGAAAGCGGCCCTCAAAACCTTTGTAAACTGCATGGTTATGGGTATGGCATAGTACATCTTCATTGCAGAAGAGGGTAGGACACACAACTGCATTAATTCCGTAATTGTTTAAAGTTATAATAATCATCCCTAAAAAATGTGTGTCAACCGGCATCTGGGCGTCGAATGTGACCCAATTTTTTAGAAGAGATGGCAGACGGTTTGCCATCATTGCAACCGCTTGCATATTTGTAACAGATCGATATGATAGAGCCCTACGTCGCCGCGCTATTTATTCAGAGGCATGCGCACAACTCATTTATTCATGTGTTGAGAAGTTATGGGTCGAGTTGAAAAAGAGACTTGCTATCAAGAGATAACAGACGATAATCCTCGTAGGATCAGGCTGAAAAAAAAATCAAAGTGAACGAGAGGATCTGACAGTTCTCTGCCTCTAGAGCCTCGCCTAGGTTCTGACAGAGCTCCCTCAATCGATGGGGCAACCTCCCACGGTGGCCTTGCCACGGAATATGGGTTTTTAATTTTGTTTGCTGCCTTCCTCTCATAACCAACCAGACTAGACTTGGAGTAAGAAGGGTAGAGGAAGCAATGTCAGTCTCTCAAGATACAAAAGGGGTTCAACTCGCACTCCTGTAAGAGAGCATTGTTGTCTCTCTATTACGAGGTCCCTCAGTGGTGGCCAATTGCAAGGAGAAGCATCAACAGGTGGCAACGTCGTCGTAAAATTACAACAGTAGCAATATTTTTCAACCCCCCCCTGTACCACTAGTCTCTAAAAAAATGAGCAAAAACATCAGCCTCCACAACAATAACGTTTAACCTCAACTGCAGCAACTCACGTGCTCAACGACGTACAAGGTAACCGACTTTCACGAAGGGCCAAACGCCCGAACCCGAATGCTCGAACGTATGGGACCCCTTGGGGATGCGTTCGGTCGTTCCAGCCGAACACGAACCCTCCCCCCCAAAAAAAGAAACAAAATCAAAAAAATCTGAAAACAAGATATGTTATGAAGAAAAATAAATTAAACAATATTTGCCTGAGAATTACATTTAAATTCCTTACCAAATTTAAAATAAAAATAAAATACAAAAAATAAATACTAATAATACAAATAAGTTAAAAAAAAAAAAACTTTAGTGAGTGCGCGAGCACGTTTTCGACACCACCATCTTTGGCGATTTTTTTTTTTTTTTTGGCATAGTTAAATGTCCTGAAAATTAAGAGATGTGTACTTCACATAATGCAAAACCCACAAAAAAAAATTCAAAAAATAATAAAATTATTTAGACCCCGAGGCAAAGTGAAAACAAACAGTAAAAAATAAAAAAAAACATGGGTGAGCACGTTTTGACACCGCCATCTTTGGCGATTTTTCATTCTTATTTGGCTTAGCCAAATGACTTGAAATTTAGAGGCATGTACCTCACATCATAGAGAACTCGCAAAAAAAACTCTAGAAAAAAAAATATATTGTTAGGCCCCGAAATATTTTTTGACGGTGGCCGAACACCGTCGGGTTCGGACCCCGTACAGGACCCCGAACGCCCGTATGTATAGAGGTCTGCCCGGGGACCTCCGTACGTACGGGCTGTTGAACCTATATATATATATATATATATATTCTATTTTGCGGGCCTACTGTATGGTTCCGTTTTTTGACAATGGATATGGCAGATAAATGACGCATCCCATAAATAACTTGAAAGTAAATGACACATCCCGTTTTTTATGTAATTTTTCCCGTTGTTGGGGTATTTTGTTTTGTTGTGGTAATCTTGTCTTCATCCAAGTTGGTTTTGTCTCGTTATTCGGTCTACGCATGTAACGGTGCTTCATGTGGGACTAGTCATTCAAATTTTTTTATTGTTTTGGCATCTTGGTTGGTTGTTTCCCGTTGTTCGGCCTTTTCGAAAGCGGGACGGTGCTTGCATGTGGGAATCATCATCCAGGATTGTTTTTTATACTTGTCCTCCGGGTTCTTTTTTTTTTTTTTTGCAGAGAAGAATGTTTGACATTTTGGTTGGTCTTACCCCATCGTTTGGCCTGTGGGCAGGGGCGGTGCTTGCATGTGGGACTTGTCATCTGGGATCTGTTTTGTTGCCCCCTGTTCTGTATTATTTGGTTATTCCCTTCCTCTTTTCCTTGCCTCTTTGCCTTTCGGCTATGTGCAAGTGGGTTGATATGACACACGGGGGCGAAGGCA